GACACTGTTGTGTCCATTACATACCTACACTATTTCAGTTTTAGCACTCCTCCAAATTATTCATTAAATTACAAGTGTGCTGATGCTGTTTGAGTGGTGAACATTTGTAAGGGGGTGGGCGTTGGGCGATATGAGTCTGAAGGGAAAGAGGGGAGAGAATAGCCACTTTCATTCGGAGATCCTGCGAAGGACAATAAAGTATACTACTACTACTACTACGACTCAGCAGTATTACGCACAATGGCAGTATTTCAAACTGGGAGCCATTCATGGAAGAAAATGCTGTGTTAAGTTACTTCTAATGCAAATATGAACATTTCCTTCTGCTGCAGTTTCACATCAGGGGTGGAGGCAGAAATTGTAAACATTTGGGGCATAACTTAAACCTAGGGGGGGTCTAGGCGTATGTTCCCCGGGGCTATTTTTTTCCACATTTACGGCAGCTAATGCACAATTTTGTAAAAATCATGATAGTTGCCCAGCGGAAAGAATCGTCCTGTAGAACCTACTATTGCATTCAAGACCTTTCCAAATGAGGTCTGGTGAACCAGTAGTGATGTTTTATTCCCACCATGATTGATTGGTTTGCCAGAGTGGAAGAGGGAGAAACTGTAACAACAGCACCAACTCAGTTGGCAGAGCCTATATGTCAAAGCATGTGAACACAGTGTTGTGTAATTCTCTCACTGTCAGAATGGGGAGACAACAGTTGTGCACCGCAGGTTTTAACCTGTTATTCTATTGTAAAGCACTTTGTAACCACAGTTTTGAAAGGTAAAGTAAAGTAAAATTTTAATTACTAAAATGCGGGAGTCAGACAGGGTTATGAGAAAGATTAAAAGTCTCAAAAAACTGAGCTATCTGCTGAGTTTGGAGGTAATGATGGTGAGAACTGGTGTGGCAGAGGTAAATGGAGGTAAGCGTGACTTGCAGGGTGGGAGGAGGCAGTAAGTACCGACGGCGAAACTGGTGCAATGCAATGCGGCCCAGCTAATTGCCAATTGGATTGTGATCAGATGATGTCATATTTTCATTCATACTGTGTAGGCCTATAATGAGTTGCTGTGTTTTTCTTGATTGTTATTTCTGATGTGGTTATTGACAGTGTTGGGCAGTAGCGTCGCTACTAGTAGCTCCGTTACTAGTTTAACTACATTTTACAGTAGCTTGGTGGTAGCGTCGCCATTTTCTGAATCAAATAGCTTTTCAGTAACAAAGCTCGTCTATTTGCCGAGTAGAGTGGTAGCTTCCACACACACTACATTTCCCCAAGCATTTCTAAAGGATCAGTAAGTGATGGTAGTCAATGGCAAGAGACAGTTTATCTTTTAATCCCGTTAGAATTGAACCCTGAATTACACATATGATGTTGGTCAATTTAAAATATAATTTTAAGTCAGGAAAGTCGCATTTTGTTGTAAAACAGTAAAGTTACATGTCGTTTTGTGTGAAACCGCTCAATGAACTACATCTCTCGTCTTGCACAATATACGTCACCAAAATGTTAGCGCGGTAAAGCTAGCTAATGTTCATTGCTTTCTTGCTACTACCTAGATAATGTAGCTATGTTCCACGCAGAAATGTATCTCACCTGATGTGTTTAATCCAACGACTCCTGGCTCTTTTATCAAATCATCCTCTCATGTAAGTGTTTTGATGTTGGCTTCAGTAACGTTAGCTTCAGTCATTGACAGAGACAGTTACAACGTCACATACGCGACTTTTGGGTTTGTGGTCTTTGTAATTATGTATTTTCACAGTCTTATATGTCAACAATTTAACATCAAACTACGACCTTCTTTAATTTAAAATGTATCTTTTAAATCGACAAAGATCATATGTTTAATTCAGGGCACAATTTAAACGGGATCAAAATATTTGTTGTCTCCTGCCATTGACTACTGTACATTATTTTTCCAAAATAAGGTCCCATGGTGGTCCCCCGGGAAGGGGAGGGTCTTAGGCTCTCTATTGTGATAGTTAATACCTCTTGTGAGAAGGATCAGGGTCCAGCCTAGACAGCTCTTCCTCTAGGGAGGAGGAAACATTGATATGTAGTGGCAGAAACTTGTTTCCATGAGATGAGACATTTCTCTCTCTCTCTCTCTCTCTCTCTCTCTGACCTATTGCCACGAATGTTTAGGTTGTTTAGGTTGCAATGTTGCCAGAGCACAAATTCACAAATTCACATATAAACAATGAAAAAATATATTATTAATAAACAATGTAATGACATTATAAAAATTAAAGAAAGCGGAATAAAAAAAACAAGAACACAATATAGGCCTTTGTTACATTAACATATGTCTTGCTTTTTGACAAACAGTGGAATTCTTCAAAGGAACAATTATTAAAATAAGAAACAGTATTATGTATTACATGACACACATATACACCTATACACATGACAATGTGATAATTAAGTTACTTTATACAAACAACAATGGTTCTTTGTTGCATGAGGAAATACATTTAGCTGTAATGATATAGCAATAGGTAGGAGAGTTTCTGTGTTTCTGATTTAGCACACACACTGGAGCAAGTTTTTAGTCTTTCTTCTTTTGCTACTGTGGAATGAAGTTGGTTCAACATAAATTTGGCCTACACTGTGTGTGCGTGCGTGTGTGTGTGTACATATATATTACCTAACTATAAAATATAAAAAAAATTTGAAGTAGCTTAGATGTACCTAAGCTACTTTTTCCACATTGCTGTAGCTTAGCTTGCTACATTTCACAGGGGGGTAGCTTCTGTGTAGTGAAGCTTCATTTAATGTAGCTAGTAGCTTAGCTCACTACATTTTCCAAGTAGCTTGCCCAACACTGGTTATTGACATACTGTGTCAGCTACTTTGTGTTGATTTGTTACTGTAGGCTGGCTAAAGCTATTTTATATTTGATAGTCAGACAGCAGGTTTGAGTCGAGGGCAGGCTATAAGATTTGTGTTTCGCAGTTCTGCTGCTGTCCGTGGTGCTTATCAAAGGCTGCAGGTTTGCAATTGCATGGAGTCGTCATATGTCTTTATGCTTGAGTGTACGCAAATGTGCTTTTTGAGGCGAAGGACACAAAAAAAACTATGTTATGCAGTTGATAAGCCGGTAAAATAGGTAAGACAGTGTAAATCTGGTGTTTCAGAGGTAAGTAAAGCCCCCACCCCTAAATTAAAAGCACCACAATAAGGTTCTGCATTGATATGGGATTAATATCCTGCCTTGATTCAAAACTGAAAATAAAGTTCTGAAAGGTTGAAAGTAAGTGTTTGAATACTCAAAATCTTACAAAAAAAAGTATTGCAAGATCGAAAACTAAGATTTGCAAGCTTGCAAAATGTAAAAAAAATAACAAAATCTCTGCAAACATTATGTTGTTTCTGAGTTTCAAATTTGTCCGTGTTCTCCCAGCGTTTGTTTTCCAGGTTTGAAACCTTGTAAATGGTGATCTGAAAACTGGTGTGCAAATGTGTGAAAAAGTTTTGACACTCTGAAAATTGAGGTTCAAAAGGGCAAAACTTGATTACATTACATTACATTTGCACTCCTATTGCAGACTATTTTTTCAGAACTGAGTTTACAACAGCCACTTGGCGGAGATACGCCTACACAGTTGCGAGCTTGCTACTCACGTGATTTGTGGCAACGTTGTCACGCAGCTCTGCTCTGAAACTCAGACTGAAGCTTCGCAACCTTGCAACGTAAAAAAAAAAGGCCTGGAGGCAGGGCCTTCTGCTCTTGGCCAATCCTTGGCTGTCTGTTGAAGTACAGTCCAATCACAAGTCATATTCACTGGATAGACGTATTGACAGACTGCTCCGCCAATGACAGAAGCGGACTGGACACGTATTCAGGAAGCACAGCTCCCTGGACGGGCTGGCTGTCTCGGTTCAAGCGGTGCATGGATGTGGAGAAGAAATCTGCAACGGGTAGTAGCTCAGGGCGGTTTGTTCATCAGCGCGATGTCACCTGTGGTTTTGTGTTGGGAGATGCAGTAACTGAACCAGCGGTGAGTAAGAAATAGTATAAATAACATGTAATTTGTTAAGCTATGAGGAGAGGAAAAGTCCGCTAGCTGCTAAGATTTTATGCTGTGTAAAATGCAGGCTTAACTTACAGTAAACTATCAATGGAGACTATCAACCAGACAAATCTCGACATTTATTAAGCCAAAATGTATGCTTTTGTTAAATGTGATTATTCTATTAAACCACTTTTATGTGTGGTAGTGGAGTCATTTTAAACTAACTTTTTAACTTTACTGTAGTTAACCAGTAACAACTATTTGTGTTGTTGTTTTTTCTTTTATGGCCTAAAGCACTTAAGACGATGAGCAGAGCATTAAGGAATTGAGTTTGCATGTGATATGACAACATCAATATTATCTGCGAATAGAATGGGCAATGCAGATTCAGACATTAAAGCAACGTCATTTATATAGATGAGAAACAGAAGTGGCCCAAGAATATATCCCCGAGGTACTCCACAACATAGCTTTATTCTGTTGGAAGCACTGCTATTTATAGATACATATTGCTCTCTATTATTTAGGTAGTCGCTAAGCCAGTTGATAACAACATCCTGAAAACCATAGCAGTAAAGTCTGGAAATCAGAATTTTATAATCAACTGTATTGAAAGCCTTTAATAAGTCTAAAAATATACTATTGCAAACATGTTACTGTCCACTGCTGTGGAAATTTTGTGTATATGTTGTAACACATCCATATAATTTGAGTGTTGTTGTCGAAATACATAATGTTTATACAGGATAGTGTTGTCATTCAGGTGTTTTAACATTCTTACATAGAAAAGAGCTCATCCACATCTTTTGGGATGTTGTGGAGGCTTTTCAAGCAATCCTCTTACTTCTCTAGCAAATTCATCAAGTCTCTTGTTGTTTCGACCATTATCGTCAGAAAGTTCTTATAGCTGCGCTCCTGCTGCTCCAGCTGCTCTCTCTAAAACATTTTCTGCTGTTCCATCAACTCATTACCTGGGTTAGAGACACTTAATGCTTGTGTCCGCTTCTCCTTTTCGGCAGCATGACAGCTGTGTGCAATTTTAGCTTTTTAGATTCAGCATGGCATCAATGGTGTTAGTAACACACTTATAGCTTCACTTCTCATTAGTGAAGCTTGCTGGGCGTCTCTCCATCATCTGCTGAATATGCCTACAGCAGTGAGCAGGAAAGGACCAACGATGTGAGCGGTTTAAGCCAGTAGTGGAAGAAGCACTCAATTTTTATACTTAAATAAAAGTACAGATACCACACAAAAAATGTTACTCAAGTAAAAAGAAAAGTCATCCTACGGAAGAGGATTAGGGCCACATGTGATTTTTTTTTTTTGAGTTCTACAATTAAAGTCAGAATTCTGAGATCAGAGTTTAAAGTCACAATTCTGAGGTTGCTTTCCCACTTACGCTGTGTTCGAAACAGGACAGCGAGGCATCGAGTGCTGTTCGAAACAGCTCAAACAATCTCTTGGCTGTTCAAAACCAATGTTAACAGAGCCGCCTTCACTTGAAAGTGATGCCTTCTGAGGCAGCTGTCTATTACGGTATGGAGGCAGCGAGGCAACTGCCTTCCTTTCAAACACAGCCCTAGACCGTTTTGTTTTGTTCCGGAACAGATACTTTGTTACAAGTCATTTTGAATATGTCACTTGTGTTCACACCATTGTAAAGCGGTCCAATTCGCATACCCTTCCAGGGCTTTCCTTATGCCATTACGTTCCTACCTTATGCATGCAGGTCGCGATTGTCGTATTCACATATTTCCAAACGAACTGGGCTAAAACGGAAACACCCCCTTGTTTCGGAACAATGTCTCAAATCGATCCAGGTGTGAAAGCACCCTGAGATTAAATTTAGAATTCCATATATTAATGTTATCAGCTCCATCATGCCTGTTCAAACTGGCTTCCCCAGGTTTCCTTCAGTACATTTTCAAATATAAAAATACTGCTTAAAATTTCTTGGCTGAATGTGATTATTTACTGAGATGTGCATCCACATTGCCCAGCCTATCCAGCAAATCAACATATAAATAGTCAACAGTCAATGTGAATTAATTCCTTTCTATTTTGCATTAGTTAAGAGCTGTAACTAAACCTTGACTGAGAGACCGATTACCACTGTCATGATTTCAAATGATGTGTGCCTATGAGGAGTGCCCTCATATCTGTGTCTGGACTGGTCCGCTCAAATGTTTCTTGCTGGAATGCACAAATTTAATTTCGTGCATGTGCATATGAACGCATATACACTTGCACTTGTTATCTTTTCCGAGCTACAGTTTATAAACACAATGGCCAGTCAGCGTTTATCAAACGTAAATAGCTGTGTTTCACTCTAACATTGTTCAGTCACAGTCTGACAAAAAACATATTCACAGACAGACAAGAGATGCGCTCCCCAGCTGGGTTAGCAAGACAGACAGAGTAGAGAGATTCACTTCAGCTGCAAATGAACTTAAAATTAGGTACTGTTATCATGACATCTGACTATGTAAGGTGAGAACACAAGTTTACCTTATTGCTGTTCCCGCAGTTCACTCTCATAGAGTTTTACCACTTATCGTGCCTAGGATAGTCCCTCTTCATCCTCTCTTCAAAGTTGTAGGCTACTCATAAACACTCGCTTTCACCTTTGACTAGTGTTGTAGTCAAGACCGCCCAAACTAAGACCAAGACAAGACCAAGACCAGTACCCCACATTACATGACACCCAATAAAATGTGGAACAAGATCATAGGTACTTCTCAAATTGATCTGAAAAATCCACATTCCCATTAGAACATCCACATACAAACACTAAGAGCTGAAATCAACGTAAGCATCTTTATTCAACACCATCATGGGGAGGGTTGACAGTCGTTAACAGTAACAACACATTTTTAATTAGCGTTATTGGTTGTATTTGAAGAAATAGGTTTTACATTCAATCAAAGTTAGGATGTTAACAAAAAATCAGACAATGCAAAAGCAATTTATTGATATTCCCAAAATTAGGGTCTTGAAATAAAATCCCGAGTCCTAAATGTCTGAGACCGAGACAAGACCGAGTACAAATGCGGTCGAGTCCGAGACGAGACAGAGACCATCAAAAAGTGGTCTCAAGATTATTTTTTTTGTACAATTTGCAAAAAACATAACATATTTATGTTTCATTTTTGAAAAAAATAAGTCTAACCAGAAGTCAAGAGATTCAAAGAACCCGGCAATTCACATAAAAGTAAATCCAACTTTACTTTAGTTCAACAATCAAATAGCATTGCAATAGCTTACTGTGCATTTAGGGACATTTGTCAGGTCTAAACACTTTCAGTTAAACTCCCTGAACGAAAACATTTTCTTTCATTTGTTTCATCCTCTGTTTTTATTTCAACCGTTGTTGCAGCTCGACATTTTCAAGTGGAGTTTCAGAGCTTTTCTATCCTCTCATCCCACTGCCCAGCAGCACGGAAGCCTAGTTCAGCCATTTCATTTATTAAACCGCTGTTTATTATTTCTGCAGAAACAGCTGTTTTTCAAGTGCATCACTTAAATCAACGTAACCTCAATTTTCAAATCTTCCAAATGGAAATGATATCCTATTCCTTACCCATCTAGGGTTTATGTCACTTCAATAGTTATGGACAGCATATTTACGAATGTCATGTAAGAGAACCAATTACGTTAAATTTGTGGTGCCTGCGCAACCAGTATTCCCACTCGATTACTTTTAAATGTTCTTTAAGAAGTTATGTGAAGCGGTTGCCACATTTTCTCCAAATATCCACTTTAAATGTCTGCCATGCTCGTTCCAAATGCTGTGTGTGGGCTCTGCTGGTATGATCTGCAAAAAAAACAGTGGTGCAGTGGCTAAAACACCTGCATTTGGTGAGAGAGACCCGGGTTCGAATCCTCTGTGAGACACCAATGTGTATCTGAGCAAGACACATAACCCCGAGGCGTGGGACCTCTGACATCTATAGTGATTGTAAGTCGCTTTGGATAAAAATGTCAGCAAAATAAACCTTACCCCAGCTGTGCCGTGCTCATCACTGCTCCTGCCTTGCAGCTGCAAGGTTCAAGTCCACCTCTACACTTCTAACTCGGCCTTCATGTCAATCGAGGCAATCAGTGACATTTAGACAAAGATGATAATAATGGTATTGCAGAATTAATATTTAAATAGATGAGTGTTTAATACACACCGTTTTTTGGGAGAATTTGCTCTCATCCAACATCACAAAGACACGGCGCCTACCAATCCTCATCTTGCCTTGACGTTGTTGTTTACTGATAGTTTTAATGCACACCTATAAATGCATACTCAGGATGGCTGGGAGACAATTATGCTACAATGTAACTGTAGTTTAGCACACTGAATTCCCTGCCTACCTCTCTCAAAGTGGAGGCCATCTTTGTCAGTGTTCAACCGCTGCTGGCAATGCCATCATCCATCATGTCTACCTTCCTCAGACGCAAACACATACCGGTAACTATAGACGTGTAAGGAATGTGGTTTTGTGTTCATGTTTTTTCCTGTTTAGTCTGTTTTTATAGGTTTGGTTTTGGGTTCTGTAAGTTTTATTTGATCTTGTCTTGTTTGCAGTGGCGGCTCCTGCCAAATCTCTCAGGGGGGGGGGCAATTGTTGCGATGATGGCTAAGGTGACCAGTTCAATGGTCTTAGTCCGCTATAACACAAGGATTGTTCATTAGGCTACATACTGTACAGTATTTGTGAACAGCTACATCGTGAAGTTCATTGTCTACAATGAATGAACATTTCACAGTTAAGATCAACATATCTTTAGACCTTTGGATGTTGTTAGGACCCGTGAGGTCTGGGTGCTGTGTTTGTGTTGCTGTGGGTGTGTCTGTCTCTCTCCTGCAGGTGTGTACCTGTATCCTGGGCGTGACGCTGGGTGGAACTCACAGCTGTAGCTGATCAGCGGCAATTAGTGGGCCGTATAAGCTGAGCCAGTGAAGCGCTCGCATCAGTCGGAAGCTGGAAGCCGGTGTGGTGAGCGCGGGTGACCTCCACATGTGCTTCCCCAGCGCGGTGGGAGCCGCAGAGATCATTTTTAGTTTAAACGCTTTTTTGTTACTTTTGATTGAGAATAAATACATTAACTCGACACATGTTTTGAGTCGTCTTTGGTTTTTCCACCCGGTTATTTATTTCTTTGTTCGTCCCACACCCCTAGACAAGCCGGGGATGTAACAGATATAATGAATAATGAAAAAAAGAATGACTCTCACAATCATCTGAATTAGCTGTGACAAACCTTTTATTTAGGAACAGCAAATCCAGAATAATGCGCAGTGACACTGGGCTGATGTGCTATGAATAAAATTATTTACAGTTAATCTTGCGTTGCAGCTAAGGGACCCGTCTCAAGTAAAAGGCTACAGTTATGTAATAATGTCACATATGCTGCATATGAAGATGGATCAAACATAGCTAATGTTAAATGTTTAATGGGGTACAGAGGAGCACAGTATTTTCATTCTTCACACATTACACAAGACTAATAAGGTAAGCAGAGAGTAGTAAAAAATCCACTTGTTATCCTGTAGATACACAGTATTATTAGGGTTGTGGGCTGTTAAGACTTGGGATGCATGGCTGCTTAGGAGGTGTGTTCTCTCTGTGCAGGGGGCGTGGTAGCTGGCTCGGCACCTGGCTCTCCTCCACACCTGCAGCAGATCAACTCATCACCGCTGTGCTCTTAAGCTCCAACTTCCTGGAGGGCCGGTGCTAGATTGTTTTTCACCATCCGTGGTAACAGTTGTCGGCCTACTCAGACGATTCTCGTTCTACTCGAGCCTTCGCCTTAAAGTTTGTTCCTAACTGTTTTTTGTCTCTTCATTTTTGTTTTCAGACCTCTGCTACGTCGTGCCCCCTCGCCAGCCACACTCCTGGATCCACAAGCTCTCTAGCCTCCCAGCCTGGCCTTCCCAACCCTTGCCTAGTTATTGTTTTTGTTCTCAAGAATAAACCCTTTTTTCACACCTTCACTGGGTCTGTGTTTGCACCTGAGTTCTACCACCACCCAACCTTAACAGTGGGCTGTATTAAAGTATCCACTATTCTCCTGTACTCTATAATCACACAGTAACAACGAGCTATGTGCTGTTCTCCCATTCTCACTCTGTATTTACACAAACATCAAGGCGTAAGGGGAAAAAAGGCATATTCTATTGTATTTGGTTTATTTTCTGTGTTTCTTTCCTTCTTCATTTTACCCTCCTCTGACAAGATGCCAGTGGTGATCACATCATGCTACCTCCTCTTTCTTCTTCGGTTTCTGGCAATAAAAGAAAAAAAACAAAACATCAAATAATTGTTAATGGTTAAGTGCAGCTAACGTTAAATTGACTCCACCACCACACTTGACTTAATAATGATCACATTTAACATAAGCATAAAATTCCGCTTAATAATAACTATCAAGATTATTAGCTTAGCCTATGGCATTTTACGGAGCATAAATTAGCTTAGTGGCTAGCGGACTTTTCCTCTCCTCAAAGCTTAACAAATAACATGTATTATTTATACTGTGTCTTACTCACCGCTGTTAAAGTCGCTGCATCTCCCGCCACAACACCACGGTCGAATTTTTAGCCTGAACGTACATTTTCTACAGCAGCTGCTCGTAGTGAGAGCAACAAGCTGGAGGACTGCCGAGTCATTTTCAGGTGGCAGAAGAAAAACTGCCTTTACATGAAAGTCTATGAGAGAGATCTGGGCGAATTACAACCAGACTGAAATAGCACCAAAAGAGGCGGGAATCCCCAGAACACGACTTGACGCTGATTGGACAGCAATATTCAGAGACAAACTGTCTGTCAAAAAGAGTCACAGCTAACAGTGTGGTAGAAAGTGTGAGAAAAATCCCCTGCCTTGGCGGTGCGTCGCCCGGTCGCCCTAATGATCAAGCCGCCCCTGCTTGTTTGGGGTTTTGTAGCTTAGTTTATTCTTATGTTTATCTGCATGTTTTTACCTTTTCGAGTCCTATGTCTCCATGTTTTAGTGTAGTCCTATCTCCTTTTTGGTCCTGTCTCTGTTCCCTGCCCTGATTTTGCAGTCTTGCCATGTTTTGTATTTTACTTTGGTAGATCTTTGGTAGATGCCTAATTAGCTCCTCACGTCATTCACCTGTGCACTCCCTCCCTGCACGTTTGCTTGGGTATCTATTGCTCTCAGTTGTTTGTGTTGTTTGTGATGTCCTTCGTCTGTGTTGAGTCTTCTGTTCTGTGCCTGTGCTTTTTTGGATTTATCCTTGGATTGTACCTTGTTACTTAGTTATGGATTTTCCCTGTGGATTATGTTTTTGTTTGGAGTTACTTTTGTTTGGACATTTGCCACTGTGCTCCCAGTGTAAGCCTGCTTTATTTATTTAATAAATCTTTGAACTGCATCTTCCTTGCTGTAGCTTGCGTTTGGGTTCACACCTTTGCTCTCTGCCACTGCGCTCACTGCCTTTCCCATGACAAGATGAACTCCAAATGACCCAGCAATGGTCTTCTTGAGTTTCAAAATATAGTCCCAGGTGTGACAGATTTCATTTTTCCATGCAGTTGTTGTTGGTTAATACAGCATCTACAAGTTTTGAAAGTAAGATTTTTTAAATTACCATTCATCTGATTAACTACAGGCAAAGTCTGATTCTTCGTATTGCAGCATATGCTGAATGAGAAACTGACTAACTACTAGCCTACTTTTTTCACCATTTGTATCCATCGGCGTTAGACACAGCCATTAGCCAAGTGGGTCTTTTGCAGGAGCACGTCAAAAGCCTAATTAAGATACTCCTTTTCTGCATCCACAAAATGTTTTTCTACGACTTCTCAAACTGTCGTCCTTTCTTATATGTCTAATTTCATTCTTGATGATACTCTCAGGAGCCATGTCAATTGTGACCTCTAGGCAGCGGTGTCGTTATGGTGCATTACAATTGTACTGGGAACTCTTTCCAGTCAGAAATTTCAACTGGATTGCTAACACTGGCTAGAAAAGTTCATCAAGGTTTTTCCGACTTAAATCTGTTGTTGTACTGAAGCATTCAATTCGGGTGAAACGTCATTCCCACTTCCGACTTTGTAGGGAAATGGAACGCATCCCTAACCCGGATGTTTTAAAAAAAAAAAGCCCCTGATCTCAAAGATTAAAAAAAAAACAAAAAAAACACAAATTAGATTTTTTTTTTAAATAGCCATAGGGTCTATTGTTTATCTATAATTGCGATCACGCAAAGCCCTTGAAAATAACATATCGTTGGTTCCTCTGTCCAAGCATCAGATTGAACGGTACTCAGCTTGCCTGCATTTAGAGTGAGTGTATGGGAGAGAGAGAGAGCGCTTTCAGTTTCAGGGCTCATCAGCAACTACTGAATGGTCCCAAGCAATCATTTTGGTCAACACATTTAAATAACCAAAGTTGTCTGTCAGTAGTCAGTGTATTTGCTAAACTAAAGGTTAACAGTAATGCAGCTTTTATCAGGACTGAATTTGAATGAAATTGTGGTCATGGGAAATCTAAATTGGAACTGGTTACAACCAGTATCTGATGATTTTAAAGCTTACTGTGACTCACTAAATCTTTTCCAGCTCGTCGATAATCCCACTAGACCTAATCTGAAATGTCCAGATAAATTATCTCTAATTGATCTCATCCTAACCAACGTTCCTTTTAAATACTCAGCAGCTTCTGTATTTGCAAATGACATTAGTGACCACTGTGTTGTTGCCACAGTCAGAAATACAAAAATTCCCAAAACCAAGCCACACATCATTACATGAAACATTTTACGGAACAAGGGTTTTTCATGTTCATGTTTTACTTTGATTGGGATAAAATGTATTATTGCTGATGTTGAAAATGTTTTTATGATGGTTTTAAAGAAATTGTTGACAAGCAAAGTATAGAGTAAAAGGCCGAAACAATGCATGGTTCACTTCAGAGTCAGCCAGTTCTCTTCACAAGCGCAATAAGACCTGGGTAAAAGCCAGGAAAACAGGCCTGGATTCTTCAGGCTGCTCTTCAGGAGACTGCGCAATTCGTGCACAATCACTATTAGAAATGCTAAAGCAGACCACTTTCTTATAGAAACTACAAACAATCTAAACAATCCCTTCAAATTTTGGAAGACAATTAAATCCTTGGCTGGAAATAAAGCTGGCATCGATGCAGCGTGCATTCTTAAGGACTCACATAAAATATCTGATAAGGCTGAAATGCTTGGCTGTTTTAATGAGCCTCTGGTTCCTTGTTTGACTCCCTCAACATTTCACATCAGAATCACCCTAAAGTTCATACTCACGGTCATATTAGAGTGAGCAATTCTTTTAGTTTTAATCCACTTACAGTCTCAGAGGTGCATAAAGCCCTCAAACTTTTAGACATTAGAAAATCGGCTGGTCCTGATACCTTGGAATCTTATTTTCTAAAATTTGCTTCCGATTTTACTGCACCACCTTTGACACATCTTTTTAATCTCTCCCTGGACACAAATGAAATTCCACTTATTTCAAAATCTGTATTTGTTTTTCCTGTGTTACAAGGGGGAGACCCATCTCGAAATTATCCGTCCTGGCTAAGGTTATGGAAACTCTGGTAAATGAACAATTGAACTACTAACAATATATATTCTCGTTCTCAATCAGGCTTTTGTAAAAAACACAACACAACTACAGCAGCCCTAAAAGTAGTAAATGATTTCAATGACTCTTTAGATAAAAAAAACAACATTGTGCAGCTCTCTACATTGATCTAAGGCTTTTGATACTGTGGATCATGCAATATTAAAACAAAGACTTTTCAGTGTCGGATTGTCAGAACAAACAGTCTGCTGGTTTGGAAACTATCTTTCAGGTAGATCTCAGTGCGTGTAGGTAGATGGTCTCACTTCCAGCCCTCTTAGTGTATCCAAGGGTGTGCCCCAGAGGTCAGTGCTGGGACCACACTTATTTATATTACATTTATTTTCATTTCTATGCTGATGACACTGTGATATTCTGCTCTGCATCTACACCAAACAAGGCTCTTTGTCAGCTACAACTTGCTTTTGATACTGTACAACACACCTTGTTTGATTTAAAACTTGTTTTGAATGACGACAAACAAAACTTATGTTGTTTTCCAGTGCAAAATCAAAGTCACAGACACTTCCACCCATCACTACTTCTCAGGGCTCTAAAGGAGAAGAGATCTAAATAATAGGCTCCATATCTGAAAGCAATGCGGAATGCCTGAGAGCTTTACTGCGTTATGTCCCCTGCCCCTGAATTTGTTTACCACCAGAAATTGATGCAGAAGGCAGAAACTGGTGCAGAAATTTTTCACAAGAATGCAGGAAATTAAGTGTTTAACGCTCAAAATTTTCTGGAGGAGGACCCTCAGACCACCCGATTAATATTATTGTTATAGTATGCTTAGTAATTATAATAATCGTAATAACACTTATTTATATAGCGCATGATATTACCTGAATAAAATATAGCTCAGTCACTTCTGGGGGAGGTAATAAAGACTGAAATGGAAGGTGTAAAAGAGGTGTTTGATTGTATCGATTGAACGTGTCAGTCAATTTGCGTTTGGGTTGGCACTTAGATTATTCACGTTACACGGACCAGCTTGCCATACAAGATGTAAAGTTTAGTGTGCAAAGAAGTTAGTCCTAATTACTTAATTCCCGAAACACTCGATGTTTGGCGAGCGTTATGAGGCGCATTTAGCTTTCATCCCTGTGTTGTCACAGGGATGAAAGGGAAGCGGCTGGACTACAAATGAGCTGTTTTCAAGCAGTTCAGAGCAGAGTTTTCTGTGGGAGAAGGGAACTCCCTTTGGGGTGGACTTTGGACTTTTTCACTTTGCAAACCTGTTAAAAAAGTTATAAAACTCAATAAAGGAGAGGGAAAAGGCCAAAAGCATAATACCACCTCGTTAAAAAGCACGTTGCACGTTTAAAATGTGTCTGCTAGAACCGCTAGTTTGTGTAAGCTAGCCTGAAACTAAA